AAAAAAAAAAAAAAAAAGAGTGGGCGAGCACGTTTTTGACACTGCCATCTTTGACGATTTTTCATATTTTTTGGCCTGTGACAAATGCCATGAAAATTCATATATGTGTATCTTACATAATAGAGGATCTACAAATAAAGTTTGAAAAAATAATAATTTTTTTCATGCCCCGAAATAAAGGAAAACCAAAAAGTGAACAGGGAGAAAAAACAAATTAGTGAGTGGGCAAGCAAGTTTTGACACCACCATCTTTGCCGATTTTTCATTTTTTTTTGGCTGAACAGAATGGCTTCAAACTTAACAGGGAGATACCTTACATCACAAAGAACTCACGAAAAAAAAATCAGAAAACAATAATAATATTTAGGTGCCAAAATATTTTTTCGCGGGGTCTGAACCCCTTCAGGTTCGGGCCCCGTATGGGTACCTGAACGCCCGAACGTTTGGGGGTCAGCTTAGGGGCCTCCTTACATTCGGCCTGGCAACCCTGTATATATAGATATTTTTAACTCGGTAAAGAATTTCGATGTGAGCCTAAGGCAAAAGTTGTTCATATTATTTTTCTGCATAACATTTCTTTTTCAGTTTTTTGTTTTTGTTTTGCTGGGACCTTCTTTGGTCCTTGCAGGGCCGGGTCGCCTGGGCAAACAAGGTGACCTGGGCGGGGCCCGGCTGGTAACCTAGCTCAGTTTTGTAATTCAGTGCGAGTAAGCTTGTGGCTGCTGACCGTTGCTTTCTGTGGCGCTGCTGACTCTGAATGACCTAGGGAACGAAAATTGATCAGTCAGAAATTTCAAATTTTGAATACCTACACGCCATCTGCAGTGTAAATGTAAATGAAATATCGCGGATTAATAATAATAATAATAAGGATGTCAAATTTTATGTTTGTGTTATGTGGTGCAGGAATTGCTGGAATCAGATCCGTTTAATCCTGAGGCTCAACGGAAAATTGAAGAAGTAATCAGACAGGTATATTTTGTTTACCAACAGTTTAATCCCCACGATTCCCCAGGATGTTGTTGTTGTCTTTTTTTTTTAATAAATAAATTAAGCCACTACTACCTTTCAGAGTGAGAGGGTAAGTTGTGAATATAATCTATACTGCCGTCCTCGGAGGCCAGCAGAGGCTGGGGTCCACTGCATCAAAATGGCTGGTGGCACCAGCCAAAACAAAGCAAAAAAGGTCGCTCTGGTGCTTTGGCAAAGCTTGGCGTTCAGTTCTACCCCGTCTCGGCAAAGTTTTGTTTGACAGCTTTTTCTTTTCTGGTCATCTTGAGTTGACAATTTCAGAAAGTTTTAGAGCAATTTCAGAAATTTCAGAGTAGCTCCATAAAATCACCTTTCTGGTCTGGCATCATAGCTACTTTTCCTCCTACAGTGGTATTTTGCTTAAAATGGGAGGATATGGATGGATACGTATCAATACGACTTTATTTCCTAATGCTCATGCTTACTTTGCGCCTTGGTTATTGACTGAAGAGTATAATTACTGATCACCTCAAAGGCTACCATCTTCAGCTGAATAGAGCGCATGGTAGGGTGCTAAGGTGTGTTTCTGTGAAATACTGTTTGCTCCTTTAGTGTGTTTTGGGACCGTTCATCACAAACAGTCGGCTGTGGAGTGTCACGGCCAGGACACGCAGTTGGTGATATGTTCATGCTGAGAAAGCATGGATGGATGGCTACGTTCTTGCTATAAAATATCACAAGCATACTACCACCGGTGCGGAGTTCAGCTTCCTGACAAGTTGGTGAAACTCCAGCAAAACAGACGGTCACAGCCCCCTGTTTCTGGTCCTTTTCTCCCTTCTCCGTCCACTGTTCACCGGACGGTTCTCTATGACTACATGTATGATGTATATATAAAGGGGTTCCTTGGGGGGAGCTAAATGAAGAAATAATCAAAGAGGCAATGGTAAGGAAAGAAAAGGAAGAGTTTGCGAAGGAAAAGGCAAAACGAACGGCTTCAGGGTGCTCTTCATGTTTGTCTTGGATTTGTAAAGTGCTTTCTTTTGGGGTTTTTAAAGATTTAGCTGAAATGAACGAGTCGTTATCGACTTGAGCATGTGTATGCTGTGTCTTACGAGTCAGCAATTCTTAGGGGCAGGCCCCACGGGTGCTATGATGTCCGTGCTGGGAAAGCATGAATCTGTGGCCAGGTTCATGCATTCCTGGCATGAACACGGAGCAGTGGGGTCAGTCTTGTAAAAGTGCATTTGCAAGTTGAGAGGGCTTGTAAGACTTGATAACACCGGCCCTTCCTTTGCGGGAGACTCACACTGCTTGATTTTCGCTGTCTATGTGTGTTGTCATGTGCGCTCTATTCCCCACCCCTCCTCACAGAAACAAATTGATGAGAACATGGAAGCGGCAATTGAGCACAATCCAGAGGCTTTTGGACGAGTGGTGGGTTTTCACTTATGCGATTTTGATTCACGAACTGTCGTAAACCCACTGCCTCTGCGTCTCTTGGTCTTCTTCCAGACCAAGGGTATCGGGATGCATGGGCTGTCTTTGCTTTCATGGTTTTGATTGGTACACTGACATGCCTCCGTGCCCCTCCTCGGGGATTCCAACTTTTCATAACGTCAGAAATTGCATCTCGTGTCCTTTGGGACATCTGTTAAAATTGGAACGATACAGAGAAGATTAGCATGGCCCCTGGGGCCTGGGACGACTAGCACTCGTTTTAAACGTGAGACAGTGCTGCGTGACAAGCTTTTGGCATTAAAAAAATGGTTTCTGCATTTTTTTAAGATAAAAAAAACTCTCTTTCTTCTAGATATAGAAAGCAAAATTCAGCTTAGGGTGCTCCCGTCAGCCAATGGGATGGGAGCTGTCGAATTCATCGCCTCTTTTTCTGGAGGCATGCTGGACTCAGCCAATGGGCTGCGTCCAGTACTTCGTACACACCACTTCGTTTTTCTCTTCTCAAGACGTTAAGTACTGTAGCAGGGATGCGTTTTCGCCCCCCCACTCAGAAAGCTGTGAAAACGAGTCGCTGCTACAGTGATTTTGAATTTAAAGAAAAAGAAGAAATCATGAAAGTGCGTAGGGTACACAGGCAAAACTTTGCCCCTTTTTTCGAATCTCTGCAAAATTCGGAACTCCGCATGATTTCCCCTCCATCGATGGCCTGTAGCCATCTAAATCTGTCACACGTGATAGAAAACCAAACGGACACGGTTTAAAACGGCGCTAGTCGGCCCTGGCCCCTGCGCGAGGATGACACAAATAAATCGAGAATATGTCCAAATTGAAAATAAAAAGGGGGGCGGGGGGGGGGGGGGGGGAAGCAATCGCATCTTGTGATTTCGAGCCGTCTTTTGCATCACTGTTGGTTAACTTTCTGCAATTCAGCTTTATGAAAGGTTTCACAGTGACCCCACACGCACACGACTCCCTCACACTTTATGAAAAGAGAAAGTTTTCACAGTGTGATGAGGTGTGAGGATATGGACGCCGGGGCAGTAATCTTTTGCTGTGGCAAACAATATAATGCAACCTTGCTGCTATGGTAGGTGTTGAGAGTACTCGCCGAAACTCCCTGGAAGTTCCCAAACACGTCGGTGAGCTTTCCTTTACGGAGAGACGAACATGTTGAAAAAAAAATGATAAACCATGATGCACAAAGAAGAATTGGAAAGGTGTCGGTGGATGGTAGTGGTTGTGGTTGAGGAGGAGGAGGAGGAGGAGGAGGAGGAGGAGGAGAGGCATAAGTTCTCTATAACTAGCATTCTGAATGAGCTGATAAAAGAAGAGAGGAGGAGGAGAGCGAGAAAATTATTCTGGTTTTTTTTAAACTTGGTTATGCTCAACAAAAAGTGTCTAGGCAGGTGGTGGTACAATGGGCCAGGCCCTGCCCTGCTGGTCACTTGCGCTAGATTTGCACGAAGCTAGCATACATGAGGATGTTCATGCTTTTTAACAAAACCAGAGTGGGGACTAGCACTACTGCAAAAGGAGTCGATAAAAGCACATGATCCCTTACATAATGCACCTGAATGTGTATGAGCCAAGGTTGACAATCTGTAACTGGCTTGGTCCATATTCCGTGTGTGTCCAGTCACATTCTGGAATCGAAGTCCAGGTCCAGCTGGTACGCCTTCATGGCCCTTATCAATGTAGCGCCCCGCCACCCACCAGGCAAGTGTACTGTGAGCTCCACCATATCGAAAAAGGAAACCTCCTTCTCAGTTTGCTCCTCCTCCCTCGTCCTCCCCCTATTTTTGTCCTCCTCCTAACTCCGTAGCCCAATGTTGGCATTGGCATTGACTACTACTCCCTCCATAGCCAGGCTCTCCCCCTCAAACTCTACCGATGACTCCATAGCCATTGAGGTTTCTTCATTCACCCTCTGCTTCTCCTCTAGCCAGGGGCTCTGCCACTCCTCCCCTCTCGCCGGAGCAGCAGCATGACCCGGCCAACTCGTTGATCGGATCAGGAATAGGCTTGGCTTCTCAGCCTCTGGACCCTCTACCCGGGTGCTCTCAGCCTCTACCGGTGCCACGCCTACCGGTTGCCTGTTTTTTTGGCGGGAACATCATGGAAGGCTGTAATCCTTCCAACAGACCCTGTATCAAGGCCTAAACATGACCCGATGCAGTCCTGGTACGATCATTAGCTGCTTGCTATCCTACCAGACTCCTGGACTTCTCCGAGTCGGTGGAAGGTCCCTACCGGGTTCCTACACAATTCTACTTCTACCCCTGGCCTCCCTAGTATTTCCGCTTTCTTCCCTAGCCAAATATCGGTTCTGTCCATATGTCGAAACCTATTTATCCTATCGCTATCCTAGAAGCAGAGACACAGCACGGGAAAAAATATGGCTAGCAGAGGAACAGACTTCTCCTCAGACAAACTCACAGCATGCATACATCATCAGCAGGTCACGCAGACTCCGAAAGAGAGCACAGGAAAAACAAAGCCAGACTCGGAAATCTCAGCAAAACAGATCAAGGACACCACTTTCTCAGAAAAATCCAGATCTCTCAGTCTCCAACTGTGCGGGTCATTGCAAGTAGTATTGTTCTTGTTATGTTGCTATTGTTATGTTTAGTAGTTGTCTATTAGTAGCTTTGTTGTCTATTAGTAGCTTTAGAGGGGGTTTATTTCCCTTAACCTGATTCAACAAAATGACAAAATGTAGCTTTTTATCTGTTTGCAACTTTGCAAACAGGCTCACGGACTCGTGGTCAACGTTCAGCCAGGTGGCAGCTAGACATTGGTACCCGGTGGCAGGTACACATGGATGCCATGATAGCCCCTCCCCAACTGGATGAAATGATATGAATGCATTTTGGAGTCAGACTCTTGATTGCTCTAATCATGAAGGATTTGGAATTCTAGTCTTCTAGTTTCAGTTTGGGCTTTTGTGTTTCCTGTGCCAATGCTTCTGATGTTCTCAAAGTCCAAGTTTATTGAACCGATTAGATTCTATTACATTCATGAAATTTTTTGACATGTTTGTGTGTGACTGTGTGAATGGTCTGTGTCTGGGTGTGCAGGTTATGCTGTATGTGGATGCAGAAGTCAATCGAGTTCCACTAAAGGTGTGTTTGCTTCCTCACTTACCCTCTTCAGTCTGGTGATCTTCTTCCTTTCTCTAGGACATCTGCTGGGAGTAGTGTGCTGTTTCCCGTCTATTCTACGTCCAACCGCTTCGAGAAGGATCATTGCTGAATTGCTCGGGAGTTAATTTCAACTCCCGTACCCCAAGTTGCTTTGGCCTCAATTAAAATTGGATTGGTATAGAGAAGATTAGAATGGCGGGTGCGAAAGGATGACACGCCTAAATCGAGAGATGGTCCAAAATTTTGCTTTGGCCTGCTCATGAAGTCCAACCATGTTCTTTTTTTTTCCTTTTGAAGTTTGATAGGAAGTGAACGTGATTCTGTGTGCCAAGTCATACAAGCAAACAGGATTCTGTGTGGAGCGTCGTACAAGTGCACAAAATTCTCATCATCGTCAGTATAGCCCCCCCTCCCCCCCCCCAAAAAAAAGGTAGAGAACATGATTCTGTGTGCCACGTCATAGGAGTGAGCGCGATTCTGCGTGCCATGTCATTATTAGGAGTGAGCATGATTCTGCGTGCCACGTCATTATTAGGAGTGAGCATGATTCGGTGTACTATGACACAGGTTCGGGGGTGCATCTTCTCATTCAAGTGCACTCGCGAAGTGTAATCTGGGCCATTGATATTCCTGCCTAGATGAGAAGGAAGTTCGAGGAACGCATTTAGATGCCCTCAAGTGGAATCTGTGTTATTGTCAAATGGATCTGTGGAAGGTGGTGGAGAAAGGTGGGGGGGGGGGGGGGGGAGAGGACGAAGGCGGGTGGAGGAAATACAAATTCGTTGACCAGGCCGGCATATGAAGGTTTTCGTGCCTTCAGGAAGAGGGGTGGATGACAAATGTCTTTTTGGGAAATGGAGCAACTAGAGCGGTAACCTACAAATGGGCCTATCTCGGAAGGTACACCCATGACATGTTGAAATAGAGACGGGAGTTCGAATCCCACTGCGACAAGATGAACAGAATGAAATAATTCGGAGTTACCTTGGCCCGGTTGGTTCAATGACGATATCTCAAGGCCATTGCCTTTTCTGAAGGGGGNGGGAGAACACCTAGAGCAGGAACCAGCTGTTCTGTCTGTTTGTGCAGATGTGCTGCAACTCTTGGGTTTTGAGTCTTTTGACATTTCCATTGTTGGATGCATTACAAAAAAAATACAATCGTGTAAGGGCTCTGACCGAGCAACAAGCAACAGTAAAAAAGCCAAAGGAGAAGATACAGAAGGAACCGGATAAGGAGAAGAGGAGAAGAAAGATGGGGAGGGGATTTTCTCAGATTGTCATTGCACTACCATCCTTTTCACCCTAATGTAATGGTGCATGACAGTTGTATATGCCATGCATGTAGGACAGTTTCAGGGAGCAAATATAGCTGTAATAGTGTGCCTTATGTCGAAGTACGATAGCAGCATTTCGATCTGTGTGCTGTAGACAAGAGTATGAAGTGCACTTGAGATTTCCTTCACAATCTTTGTGTTTTTTTCAAAATCTTCAATTTTGAGCTTTTGAAATTTGAATTGATGGGTTTTCACGGGCTACAACCAGAAGGAGGCTGTTGCTCATGAAAGCCAGGCTTCCAGTGGTTGGGAGATGCCATGACTGCTGCTCTTGCTGCTGCTGCTGCCGCCGCTGCTGGGTGTTCTTTCTGATTATGTGCTGTTCTGTTTCTCTTTTTGTTTGTTTTTGTGTGTGTGTTGCTCAGGCGTTTGTGGACAGCGGTGCTCAGTCGACAATTATGTCGCTTACCTGCGCTGAAAGATGTGGGTAGGTGTAGCAGCTGCTTCTTTTGGCCATCCTTTTGCATGGTGCAAGTAAAAATCAACGAGAATATCCGTTAACCACATGGCATGCTGTCCCGTGTTTGGACTTGTTGTTGCTGTAGTTGACTGATGCGAATCCTGTGGTTTATTTCAGAATCTTCTCGTTGAACCTTCTAGAATCATCGGAAAAAAACTTCTGAAATCTTTGGGAATCTTCTGGAATCTTCTGGAATCATTGGGGAATCTTTTTGAATCTTTTGGAATATTGCCTCGAACCCCCGAGAATCTTTTGGATTTTGAAATCCTCTCGAACCTTTTGGAATAGTGCTGAAATTGTTGGGAACCCTCTTGGAGTCGCAACCTTGGGGATAACAATCTGTGCTTTCAATAAAGTATTTCAACGACGAGGCAGCAAGAGAAGCGAGAAAACGTTTTTCTTGAACGAAAACAGCAACCATCCTTCACCTCCTGAAACTCGCCATTCCTTTTTCTTTTTTCTTTTTTCCCTGAAGGTCATTTTTTTTTATCAATAAGCCTGGGAACCAGGTCCAGCTTCCCTTACATCAGAAACAGACTCAAGGCTTCCCTTCGTTATGGTCACAGGATCCTGAGACAGCAGCATTGATTACTTCCTTTCTCGAGAAAGATGTAGCATCTCGTCTCTTACTGTTATAAAGCATGACGCTTCCGTGCGAGACCCTCCTTCCAATGTTGGGAACACTTTTGACTGGGCATGTCGTGGTGTAACGGCGTGGTGTAACGGGACGACGCGTCGGTTGGTTTTAATGTTCAAATACAAGTACACAGTAACAATGAGAAAAACGAGAATGAATCTATAAGATACACCGCTATTTTTTTGGCTTTTGTGCGTGGGTCGCGAGATGAAGAAAGTGAGAACGAATCTTCACAGAGAACATAGAAAAAAGACACTGCATTATTTTTTTCGTCTTTTGTGGATGCGTTGGGCATCGCTCGGCTTTACACCTGTTTCGTTTTTGGGGTTTTGCGGGGAGGTCGCCACACGGGAATTTTCGAATACAAGTGCATAGCAACGAATAGAAGTACACAGCTAGCCGATTTGGGTGGAAGAATGTTCGAGGGAAAATAAAAAAGGGCAGAGCTAAGGACCCAAAACGTGGTGGTGAATCGTGAATTTTCCTACGTTGTAGGAGAACTGTGCTGGGCCCGTTGGTGGGTGTGCCGTTCAAGCACATGTGTGCTAGGTGTTTTTTTTTTGGGGGGGGGGGCACGGTGCTATCCAGTCCATCTCTGCCATAGTACTGTCAGAGACGGCAGAGAAGGGTAGTGGGTAGCAGCGGGACACGGCACAAGTGGGAAGGAGGGGCAGGGCGTGGCAGCAAGGGAAGTCAGGAGGGGATGGGGAGAGAGAGAGAGAGAGAGAGAGAGAGAGAGAGAGAGAGAGAGCTGTCTCTTATACACATCTAGATGTGTATAAGAGACCACCCCCATCCATGCCATTTCACCCCCGCGCCGACCGCCACCCCCGTCCCGAGCCTCGCGCCCAGCCCCTCCCGCGCCCCGGCCCCACCCGGCACCCGGCCCTGCACCCCCGCCCCCGACAGCTGTTGGGCCCGCCCCTGGCCCCGCACCTGGGGCCACCCCGGTCCCACCTGTGGTGGGTGTGGCCGGAGGGGGTCCAAAGTGGGGCACAAAACCCCATTTTTGGGGGTTTGCGCACGGGGTGTGCGCTCTCGCTGCTCACCCCCCACTATTTTATTTTATTTATTGATTTTTTTTGGGGGTGCGCTCTGGAGCCGGGGCTTGACGACCCTGATTTGGACCCCCTACCTAACATTATTGTACACTTCTCTGATTACGTTAGAATTTCAACTCACACATGATCTCTTTGTCAAGAGTTACATGTGTGTGCCATTCAGCCACAGGCTGGGATATCATCTGGTTCTCTTCCTCTCCTCTCTTCCTATGCCTGTCTTCTGTCCTGCATCTCTTCCCCTCTGCCCTGATCAATGGATGCCAATCAGTCTTATCAGAGCAATTGGTCCTATTTACACCACCATTGTGAGCTGTCGGGCCCCTTCCTCCGGAACTTCTCGCGGTGTACAAGGAGGCTGGAGGCCGCACTTTCAATGTGAAGCACTGTCAGGGACCGGTTCGATCTGTCTGTTCGTGCACAACAATTTAGGCTCGGCAATTTTTAGGGTCCACCGTACTGGTTCTTTGATGGCACTATTCTTGGCCCCTGAAGAGAAGAACAGGTCGTGAATGCATGCACATGTGCAATGACCCTGCGTTCCGGCCGTGGCAAGGTGGTCATTGAATTCAGTCTTGCAGTTTTTCGCTAGTTTCTGTCATATTATACCTCTCAGTTGTCATGTGTAGTGTCATCTCTCTGTTTCTGCCAGTGTTGTGATGACATCCCTTGTGTTTTTGTGTCATTTTTGCTCAGTTTCTAGGCTACCAGAGTGGCCCGGGCCAAACAAATATATATATATATATGTGTATATGGATATACCTATGTATATATATAAACAGGGTTGCCGGTGTTCGGGCCTGGCCGAACGCCCGAACCCGAACGCCCGAACCTGAACACCCGAACGTTCGGCACCCCCTCTCGACACGTTCGGCCGTACGTGGACCCAAAAAAAAAAAAAAAAAAAAAAAAAAAAAAAAAAAAAAA